TCCACAGGTCTGAAGATCGTTGTAAAGATAGGGTAATCAATCAGGAGAAGTATGACTCCATAAAACAATCCATCTGTAAAGCCTGCAGACTATTGATAGTACATAATTTTAACTATGTGACACTTGAGCACTGAAGATCAAATTACTTTAATTTCACAATACTCCTCAAGTTTAAGATTTTAGTGTTTTTAGGAAAAATCTGGGGTGAAAAACAATATATAATAACCGTATTATTAAGCCAACATAAAATAAAAAAAAGAAAAATACCATATTTTAATGTAAGTATTTAAATGCTGTTGTTAGGTAGTGTTGAGCTGGTATCAGGTCACAGCTGACCCACCAATGGGTTTTCAGTGGCAGCAAACTGCACAGGAAGAGACTTCCATCTTTCTCCTGTAGAGCAGTTGGAGGATTCGAACTGTGTGTCTTTGGTTTGACAGCACAACTCCTTACAACTTAAGCCACCAGGGCTCATGTATTTATATGCTCTGAAAATATATCCATTAATATAGCATATAGGAGGCAAAATTAGCAATTAACAAGCATCTGAGGGAATGAATTAATGGAATCATGGAGCATAGGACTGCAGTTTTCAGGACTTCATGTAAAAGCTCCCAAAAGCATGTGGATTCACACATGAACATGAATGCATGTCAAAGGAAATAGTAAGAACCTATCCATATGAGATTACCGTTTCTATCACTAAGGATTATAATCTCTGTTAAGCAGTTAAGAACTGTGGGACCTTTGTATAACCTGAATCTAAATCCCTAGAACTAGATAATGGGACATAAGTGTAAGTCAAAACAATACTGTATTTGCAAGCTTCTTAATCATAAAAAATAACTTGAAAGAATGAGCAGCTTGTTCTGGAGCTTTGAGACCACAGTTTTGGTAGACATTAAAGTCATCTGGTAATAATACAGTCCACAAAGACAATGTCTACAAGCTTGTCTAATTAGTGGTGGTGAACCCCCGAAACTATGGATTGTTCAAATATGGAACTGAACTCACCTTCCCCCACATCCCTCCATCCCCTCTGTCTCCTTTACCCATGGTTCAATTCTTCAGCCAAATAATAAGAAGACCCTAAAAGGTGAATAGTAATACCTGTATAATACTCAGTTCTTAACAACAAGCAATCAAAAGAAAGCATCTGTCCAGGGATAAATCTAACCAGGCAGGAAGGGATGTGAATGAACAGTAAAAGAAAATGATAAGCACAGAGAAGAAAGGAGATTTCTGTATCATTTTGAAGACTATAACATCATGAAAAAACCAATTATGGACTGTTGAATGAAAAACTAAAATGCTATTTAAACTTTCACTCAAATCATAATAAAAATGGAAAAATATCAAATGCAACACTATTATTTCATCAAAATGATTTCTCTCAAAAGTCAATGGCAATAGATAAACATATGTATAAATGAAAGGAAATTCCTAAAAATAATTCAGTCTGAAGTTCTTACCACAAATATTCTAGCTTAGAGCTACATGACACACCCTATGGCTGACAATGGACTATAAACACTCTTCAAACAATTCTACATTACATGTTTCCTCCAAAACAAACAAACAAAAAATCCCCCTTTTTTCTTCCTTTTTTATCCTCCATACTCCTGGGCAAATATTTATTATGGACAATGCAAGGAAATATCATTAAGTACCTACATCACACTTGGTACATACCGCAACAGCAATGCAACCCAGGATGTTAGGTTATATCTAAAATGACATTTGAGGGAAACCAGTTCAGAAAACAGCTGCAGATTAAATTGCCTTTCCAGAGCACTGACAAGTGCATGGTAAAAAATACTTATGTACGTATTTGTTTGATATCACTACCTTTTTATTGGTGGTCATGACTGAAAGATAATTAATTTTTCTAAAATAACTTCATTTTAAACTGGATATTGGTAGTTGGTAAATAAGTAGCACAAAATTTTCATGAGAATCAGAATCCTTCAGCTCTAACCTTTAAATTAGGTTACTGGTTTCTATCTTTCATATTGCTATATAAAAGTCTGGTGATGCAGTGCTTAAGCACTTTAATAGCTAACCAAAAGATTGGTGTTTCAAAGGTTTCTGCCACTCCACCACAGAAAAATGTCAACTCAGCTTTTGTAAGATTTACAGACTTGGAAACCTTATGGGACCCGTTCTACCCTGTCATGGGTCTCTACAAGTGGAAATTGATTCAATAGCAATGAATTTTAATTTTCTTTCGTGTTATATATTACTCCTTGCCTGCTAGGCTATTGTACTTGATGGTCTGTATATTACTATGATGCTATTACGTATTTCAAATACCAGCCAAGTGACCACTGGTGAACAGGTTTCTGCGGCGCTTCCAAACAGAGATGGACAAAAAGAAAGGCCTGGCAATCTATTCTAAAAATTAGGCATACAAACTTGATGAATTTCGTATTTAAACTAGCAGAAAATAAAACATTAAAAAAAACTCAAAAAGCAATCTGTGAAAAACCTTGGATATCATATTAGAACAGTGTTCAACCTATCTGCTTTGGATCTACCATGTGAAGAAACAAATCAATGAAAAGGGACATGTTTGAGGAAATAGAGCTAGTAAGGGCAATTAAGACTAACAGTAAAATGAACTGGCAAAATAATCACAGTGACAGACTTGAAGACAATGCAGTGTCACACTGAAGACTGCCACAAGCTACAATCAACTTGATGGCACCCATCCATCCATCAGACAAAGGTCAATTTTGTTACAATTTACTTCAGTGTAAGTATACTAATAAATGTGCTAGTGAAATCTGAGAGACTGTGTAACAATAACAATAAAAAGAAAACAAAACCCAAGATAGCAATACAGAACACAGCTTCAACCCCAAAAGCTGATCTGGTTCACTTTAGTATGAAAAAAACCCTTAGTATTTTGCCAAATTTACACAAATACCAAAAACCAAAAATCCGAAAACATTTCAGGAACTATCCGGAATTACAATGTTAGTGATAGGAATAATATCTATATGCATTTTTTAGAGAAAGATCTGTTGACACAACAATTTTCAAATATATGCACCAACCACTAAAGCCAAAAACCAAGAAATTGAGGATAACAACCCAACTTTGCAATTGTAAACTGATCGAACATAAAATCAAGATGGATTAATAATAACTGATGACTAGAAAGCAAAAGTTGTAAAGAACAAAGGATAGCCAGAAAATATGGCCTTGATAACAGAAATGGGACTGAACATTGTATGAAGGAATTTTATACCATGATTTATTTACTGCAAATACCATTTTAATAAAACATAAATGGTGACTATAGGGAGAGTTGAGTTTGTCCCTTTTGATTTTCTGACTCCAGTTCCTTGCACATTTCATTATAAAACCTTGCTTTGTCTTCCCATGCTGACTTTTGAAATCTCTGTTCAGCTCTTTAACTTCTTGATTTCTTCTCTTTGCTTTGACTTCTTGGCATTGTAGTGCAATATTCAGAGTCTCTTTTGACATCATTCTTTCTCCTTTGTCTTTGCAGTGGCTTTTTGCATTCTTCATGAATGATATTCTCCAACAGATCTTCTGGTCTTCGCTCATTAATGCTCAAGGCTTCAAACCTGCTCTTAAGATGGTCTTTAAATTCCGGTGGGATAGACTTGAGGGTAAACTTCGGCTCTTTCAGATTTGATTTTATTTTCATTAGCTTCAATTTGAACTTGCATATGAGTAGTTGATGGTATGCTCCATAATCAGCACCTGGCATAGTATTCACAGCTCATATTGAGCTTCTCCACTGATTTTTTTCCTATAGATGTAGTCAATTCAATTCCTGTGTAGACCATAAAGAGAAGTTCATGTATAGAGTTGCCATTTATGTTTCTTATTACAAAAAGATGGAAAGAGTACACAGAGGCACCATACCAAAAACAATTGGCTGACACATAAGAATTTCATGAAACAACTTTTCTAGTCACGAGTTAACATCAAAAAATCACAGACTGTCACCACTGAACCACTGAGTAGTTTCACAATAGATGGAGAAGAAATTGAGATTGCTGATGACTTCAGCTTCTTCTTTTTTTTTTTTCACAATAAACACTCTTGGTACCTGCAGTCAGGCAATCAACAGATGAATTGCATTGGGCAAGTCTGCTGTCAGGGATCTCTCTAGAGTACTGAAAAGAAATTATGTCAGTCTGGAGACTAAGGTAATCGGTAATCATAGGCTGCAACAGTACAAAAGTATGGAACTTCCAGATACTCAGGCTGGATTCAGTAGGGGCCACAGAACAAGAATCATCATTGCTGATGTCAGACGGATCTTGGCTCAAACATAAATGCAATTAAAGTCCTCTAAATAGAGAGTATGAGTGATAGAAAAATATCTGAAGATATAATTGAACAAAAATTTTCAAACTGATAAACTGACAAAGCACTTGAGTCCAAAGTAGAGGGCAACTATTCTCCAACACTGTGGTTTCACTGGTTTTCTCCAAAGGTTTTCTGGTAGGGAGGTGGTGTTTTTGTTGTTGTATTCCAATGAGTCAGAACAAATCGATAGCTAACGCTGTAGTGGGTTTTCAGATGCAGTAAATAGCATGGGAGGGCACTGTCCACGGGACAATACTTTTTCCTATGGAGCAGCTGGTGGATTTTAACGACATGCTTTCGGCATTCAGTGCGGCTTCTTACCACTAGACCATGAGAGCTCCCTTACGTGGAGGTGATTAGTATAAAACTCTGGATAAACTCTTGATTACTTTTAGTTTTTAAAGGAAATCTGCTATCAGTGTTATTAGTCGAGCACCAGATACTATACCAACGAGACCTGCAAGGGGTAGTTTTCTTAATGTCTACTAATATTCGGTTGAATGTTAAAAGACAATGCTCTGTATACCTTTAGCGTTTTCTCTTAGTCCAGATTTCCCCACTCTGATATCCAGTTCAACAAATTTCAGAACTACAAGTGAAAAATATTAAATATTTTCATATTTCAGTCATATGATTTCTGTCACTATTACCTAACTCTATGGATAAAGGTAAAAAAGTTACAAAAAATAGAAAAAATGTGAATGAAAGTGCGTTGTTGCAATCCATTAAAATGTTATTTACAAAAACAAGTGATGGCAGTTTGCTGACAGCCATGTGAGCTCCTTGGAAGTGCCAGACTTGCAGCTTTTGTCCTGCAGGTTCCACTCAACTACACCACAGCTTATAACCTCTTGAAAGGAAGGAAATAATTTCTTGCCCTGTTTTGCTTCTGTCCTTCAGTCCCCGATGCCAAATGATTTGAAAGCAGTTGTTTGACTTATTTTATTGCACATCTCAACCCTTTTTTTCTGAGTTTGTTCAGGAAGAAGATTCATTAAGTCCTTGCTATGAAATCTCAGTTATAAACTACTATTCATCTGGAAGGTCAAGAAATGGTGAAATTAAGGTGCTTCATATTCTCAGAACATTTGCAATGAAACTGAAACATGTAAGAGGCTCTTTTACACTTTCCTATAATGTCACTGTTTTTGTTAGGTGCCACTGAGTTGACTGTGACTAACAGTGACCCCACGAACAAGATCTGAACTTTGTTCTATTCTAAACCACCACTATCATCTCTGATATGTTCAAGTCACTGTGTGAAGGTTTTCCTCTCTTTCTCTGACATTCCAACTTACCTGGCATGATGTCTTTTTCCAAGGACTGAACCTTCCTAACAACATACCCAAAGTATATGAGATGAAGTTTCACTATCCTTGCCTCTAAGGAGTAACCTGGTATTTTCTTCCAAGATAAAATGTATGTTCTTTTAGTAGTCTATAGGGAATTCAGTATTCTTTTCCAAAATTTAAAAAGAAGTGATTCTTCTTGTCTCATCCTTATTCAATATTCAACTTTCAGATATATAGGAAGTTACCGAAAATACTATGGCTTGAATCAGGCACATCTCAGTCTTTAAACCGACATCATTGCTCTTTAGAACTCTGAAGAGGCCTTGGATGCCTTTGAAAAATATAAGAAAGCAATTATATTCCCAAACAAATATAGGAATAAAAAAGTTCTCAGGTTCTCGTTGACCTTTCTATAGTGCATCAAAACTGTATTTCCATTGACTAAACTTTTTATAAGGAACACTAGTGGCCTACCAGTAAGAAGCTGTGCTGCAATCCCAAAGGCATGTTATTTCAATTCAACAATTGCTCCAAGGGAGAAGAATGACCAGTCTTCTCCCATGCAGTTTACTTCCTCCGAAAATTCACTAGATCATCAGTTATGAGTCAATTCCAACTTGATAACATGAAACAAAAACAACAGACTTTCTACACCATTCAATAACATCAACAAACTTTGTGTGGAATTTCTTAAATAAAAGTATCTATATAGGGAACTATCCAAGAAGATATATGTATACCCATGTTAATCACGGCTTTGTTTACAATAGCAAAGATTTGGAAGCAACCTAAATGCCCATCAACAAACGAATGGATACAGAAGCTCTGGTTTATTCACACAATGGAATACTTTGCTGCACTGAAAAACAAGGAACGCATGAAATATTATTCAAAATGGGTGACCCTGGAGGACAATATACTGAGTGAAATATTTCAAAAGGACAAATATTGGATGGTGCCACTGTTGTAGAATGGGACTGACATCAGGGTTGGGGTGAGACTGAGAAAGATGGGATAAATGATGTAACTGCACTGAAGCAGGTAAGAGAGAACACTGTTTAAAATTGATACATGATGTTTCATACAATCATTCTCATGCATTATGTTTAAAAAAATAAATCATTGGGCGTTGTCCATAAAAATAATCAATACATGATTAGGTATTAATGGTCATAACAAGAGTCCAGAATGAAGGCTGAATAGTGGAGTGGATTTGGGGGCGGGGACTGTATACCAATGAAAGATTTTTTCTTTTACTTTTCACAAAGAAGAGTGAACTGGGGTGGGAGGGATGGATAGGGAGAAAAATGCAAGAATGAATGAACTGAAATCCAAAGTCTCTATAAACATTCATTAAAATTAATAATAAAAAAGGAAAAGGATATGAGCACATCCCTGGCATACACCATTCCAGATTTTGAACCATATTTTGTTTCTTACAAAGTAAACAAAATTCTATAAATTCTATAAACTAAAATTCTATAAAACAAGATTAAATTCAGTTTGTACATATGGATTTATCACTTGACAATTTTCCTGACCAAAAAGGCAATTTTATATTTTAATAATAACGAAGTCATCTCTGCTCTGTAGTAGCAGAAGCATTTTTACTACTATGTATATAGTTAACAACAAATTGTGGTTAACCTGAAGAGGAATGGGAATTCCAGAACACTTGATTGCGCTCATGCAAAACCTATACTTGGACCAGGAAGCAATGGTCAGAAGAGAAAAAGGAAACACTTTATGGTTTAAAATCAGGAAAGCAGTGTGTCAGGGATGCATCCTGTCTCCATACCTTTTCAATCTATATGCAGAGCACGTAATCAGGAGGTTGAACTTTATTAGGAGAAATGTGGTGTCAGGACTGGAGGAAGACTCATCAACAACCATCATTACGCAGATGATACAATCTTGCTTGTTGAAACTCAGGAAGACTTGAAGCATTTGCTGCAGTGAGTCAAGGCTACAGTCTTTGGTATGCACTGAAGTTCTACATCAAGAAGACAAAGATTTTCACCTCTAGACTAACTGGCAGCACTATGATAGATGAAGAAGAGATTGAGATATTTAACAATTTCGGCTTGCTTGGCTCCACAATCAGCAATCTTAGTAGGAAATCAATCAATCTTAGTCAGGAAATCAAAAGAATTGGTCTGAGGAAGGCTGTTGTCAGGGACCTCACAAAAGTGAAGAGCAAGGTTGTTTCAATTACTTACTATGCATCAGATAGCTGGATAATGACTAATGATGACAGAAGAACTGATGCTTTTGAGTTGTTGTACTGGAGAAGAGTACTGAACATACCATGGACTGCCAAGAGAACAAACAATTTTATTCTGCAAAAGTGAAACCAGGATGCTTGAAGGCAAAATCCTTAAAAACCCAAGGATTTGGAAGCAAGGATTTTGAAGCTCTATCTCACATACTTTGGGGCCTTTGGCCAGGAGTGATCATTCCCTGAAGAAGGACATCATGCTTGGAAGGGTGGAGGGACAGAACAGGAGAGGAAGACCCTGAATGAGATGGATTGACACAGGAACTGTGATAATGGGGGTAGGTGTGTTGGAGACAGTGAGATGGCACAGGTTAGGGCAGAGTCCAGAGCTACTGTACATAGAGTCTCTACGAGTCACAGGCAACTCGATGGCACATAACAACAACAAATATATAACAGATATCTGGTGGCCTAGTGATAAGAAGCTGTACTGCAATCCTAACTGCATGGAGTTCAAATCCAGCAGGTGCTCTGCAGAAGAAGGATGGACAATCTCCTCCTGTGTGATATACTAACTCTGAAACCCCACTGGGGGTAAGGTATGGGTTAGTTTCAACTCAAGAGCACATAACAACAACAACAACAACAACAACAATCTACAATAGTGTGAAAAATATGGGCTATTTCCTCGCATGTGATTTACTGCCTTTGAAAGAAAATCTGCTGGAGGGTGAACTGGATGGTAAAGGGGAGCTCTAGTGGCTAAGTCAGTAGGGAGTTGCACCGCTAAGCCAAAGACGGCATCTTTCTTGCAGTTAAAATCTACCAGTGGCTCTGCGGGGGGGGTGGGGGGGGTGGGAAATAGGCAATTTCCTCACTGAGGTTGCAATTTACAGCCTCAAAAATCCAATGGAGGGTCAGTGATGTATTGGTTCCTATTTTACAGCAATGAATGAGTAAATCTATCATATAACACAATTTCCAAATTTTTGTGTTCCTGCTCAAACAATATAGATAGGAAATGTGAATACAGGTAAGAAAACAAAATGTACAGTGCTTTCTTAATTAACTTTAAAGCTAGGTAAGAAGCCTTCAATTTAAAATTTCCCTGTATTACCACCACAAATAAACTCATGCCACATATAGAAAATACTATTTATCAACTAAAAGTTTACATATTATGATTACAGGGAGAGGATCAGAGATTACTCGCTAAACATCCTGCACTCTTCTCCCTAAGTCTCTTTCCTAAGTCCATTTATATAGTTCATTGTCTACTATTATTATAACTTCCGGAGTTTATATAAGTCTACTTCACTTGATCTTCAGAATAAACAACAACCAAAGAACATGCTTATAAAATCAGTGTAGCTTGTATTAAAGGTACCTAACTTTAAACAGTTTTATCTGAAAATACTTTAAAAAATATATTTTTCAAGAATGCTTAAACTGAGAAATAAAAAGATGATTTCCAATATGGTTAAGTAAAGAAAAAAAGGTTTTGATACAAGGTAGGTATACCACCTTTTAAGACCTCATAATATCATTTAAAAATATTTCAAGGAGGAAAACAGAAGAGAAAATGAGAGAAAAGTTAACAAATTCTTTAAGGCGCTAACTTTCAGAAAGAGTGTAACAAAAAGCCAGGTGAAAGCGTTTTCTCTAACTGGCGCCAGTACTGCTTTTACAAATTGTACCTCAGGATCTCGTTCTGACTCAGATGTCTATGCTTTGCATATTTAATTGCTTCAGCCATGTAACATACTGGCATGTTCAGGACTGTCAATCAAACAGTCTGCTTTAGTATGTCTGATTTCTTTATGTAAGCAGGCCTGTTTTTAAAACCAGGCTAATTCTGTGTCTCTACACACTGATGTAAAGAAGCAATCTAATATCATTAAACTGCCTAACAGGATTGAGTATTGTCAAGAATATGAGGATGGCGCCAAACAAGGCCAGGTTTTGATCTGCTACTATGCTATGAGTTGGAGTTGACTTGATGGCACTAACTACAGAATTGCCTACTCCTGGGTTTTTTGTTTATGTATTTTACCTATTAAATTATGTCTAGATAACATTTACAAGGACAACAAAAAAAGTATCAATCACATTATGTCTGTTACTTACATGACAGATACTACAAAAT